CCTCCCTCTCTCTCTCTCTCTCTCTCTCTCTCTCCCATCGTGTATCTCATTTTCTCTCCTTGTGTCTGAGCTGTTTGGTAAGGGATTTTTATCTCTGCGTGTATATGTCTGCATATGTCTGTATATATAAACCACTGTTAATTGTCTTAAGGCTCTGTATGCTGTGTTATTGCTCCTGGGGTTTATCTTATAATATTAGTCACACTGCTAAAACAGTTTATGAAAGAAAATTTCATTGTATTTTATTGTCTCTCTTTATTTGCATATTGAGACAAAAAGGTTTCTCCTGTTGTATTAACTATTAACAGGACAAATTCTTTTTCTCCCCAAAGGGTCAAAGTTTATGATATATTTTGTTTTAAAGGAGATAAGAAAGAAGAGAACAGTGATACAGAGAATGATTCAGATGAAAATGAAGAAAGAACCCTTGGTGATACTACAGATGTCCTAAATATGGTAATGTATTTACTAGTGAATGGTTGAAGAGGTCTGCAGGAAACTCTGGAGATACACAAAATAGGAAAATGCTTTATTTGAATTGTAACAGAACCATTGTGTGCCAGATTTTCTTTCTAACTATACTGGGTCAACTACAGTTCAACAGAAAAAAACGTGGAATGCTTTGACAGTTCCAAATATTGAATAGCACAAAACATGACCAAGGTAATTTAAAGTTAAATTTAAAACTAATTAAACTGATAGATATTCTTACAGATTGAAAATAGGAGGCATTGTAATGCTTTGTTTAGGTGTGCCTACTTTTCCAAGAAAGAAGTATTAAGCTGGAAAAATAATCAGAAATGGGATTTCTCCAGGGGTTCAAGCCAGGAACAGTTTTACCACTTGATTCACAAGATTTTGTAAGTGATAGTGCCTTATAATAATAGTTACAAAATTCCAGATATGCACACCTGAACTAAAATGTAGCCGGTCTCTGACCTAGATTGGTAGCAATGTTTATTTTATATCAGGAAAAAAGACATTTTTAAAAAGAGATGTGAAAATTTGCTGCTTAAAATTCAGAATTTCCTGACTTCTGGTGGTGACATCACAGCAGTGCTATGGAAAGATAATGGTCTTCATTCCTAGACCCCAAATATTTTACATTTGGGGACCCCTCGGCGGTGCAGCGAGCCTAAAGAGCTAAGCGGAATAGAGGGGAAGGCTGGAGGGCAGCGAGGTGAAAGGCGATCACCCACTGCAACGAAGGAAATCTCTGCCAACCCAACACAAAAGTGTCTGTCATTGTGTTACGGCGGACCCGAGGCCGTGGCAGGCCAGAGAGGTTGAGGAAGAGATTGTGGCATTTATTTGGTCAAAATCCCAGAACTGCAATGATGATAATTGACTGTAAAAGTAAATTATTCAGAAAAGAAGATAACTCCAGCTGAGAGGGGATTTCCCTGAAGAATGAGTGGCAACCCCACAGGAGGAGCAGTGATTCAGCATACTGAAGTTACCGTAAAAAGTGAATAGAGCAGAAAGGACAAAAAATCTTAAGACAGATCGACAGGAGAAGGAATTGGAGGAGTGGAGAGAGATTCGGTGAGCCTGAGCAACAGGAGAAAAGTGAGAAGGGTGAGGAATGGTGAGTGTGGGCTTTGGCGAACCATGGTGATGAGAGGGAACGGAGCAGACGAGTATCAGAGATGGATGTTGGAGGAAGAAATCGACGTTCCAAAACGATGGCTAGAGAGACGAGAGATGCATAGAGATCAAAAGTAAAGCAAGAAAGAGAAATAAAATATTGAATGCTTTACGGAAAAAGAATTGTGATCNGCCTCCCTTGCCTCTAGTGACTGCACGTCCCTGGGTAACACTCATAGAATGACAGCATGAATGTAAGGTGTGGCAGTTGCAAACAGACAGTGGAACAGAGTTTATGTCTGAGAGGTTTCAAAGGTGGTTAAGTCTAGGCATACAGCATAGAAAAATGAATCCGTATTTGCCTGCTGAGAACGGGGTGGCTGAAAGAAGAAACAGTGTATTACAGACCATGAAAGATGCAGTGCTTGTTGATGTGGTCATGAGTAAAGCTTACTGGGGAGAAGCCATAAAGACAGTGAATTATATAGTTAATAGAATATGGAGTGAGGCAATACAGGAAATGCCATATTTCCTGATGCATGAAAAAAAACCATTTTAATACATTTTAGAACATTTGGTAGCTATGCCTGGGTACATATTCCAAAAGCTACAAGGAGAAAAGGTCAGAGAAAGGCCAGAAAGCTTCGGTTTGTTGGGTATGAGCCAGGAACAAAGGGGTACAGGTTTACAGATGGTACTAAGCGAGTAGTGATCTCCAGATCTGCTAATTTTGCAGAATAGAACAACTGGAATAGGATACATGCAAATCATGATGTGTTCCTTTCAATAAGGAGTTCTAATCTGTCGGAAGATGAGACCAAGTCAGATAGAGATGTAGAAGAGGATAGAATTTTGATAAAATGTGAAAGCACAGATGACATAGATGTAAAAGAGGAAGAAACAGTGACACAGGAACACACAATACCAAGACAATCTGAGAGGGGTAACAAAGATGTACCTCCTGAACAGTTTACTGTAAGTGCGATCAGAGCATACAGCGTTAGGTATGAACATCAACAGTACCAGGAAATGTTGGTAATACCCAAGGTATTATGTAAATGTGAAAGAAGTAAATGTTAATGTTAATGTAATGTAATGTAAACATGTAGACATACTGTAATGTGAGAGAAACTGTAAAGGAGAAACTGTTATATGAAATATAGTAACAAAACCTGTGTGTGTAGGAAAAGTATAAAGTATATGTAAAAGCATTTGGGTTATCAACTGTACAGGTTTAAATGGGAAGAGTGTCAAGGTACCAAGGATTTAATAGCTGCCAGCTGATGAAGGATTGTAAACTGTAATTTGTAGGGTGATGCAATGGGGAGGACTCATTGTATGGGGAGTGTCTATATAGGTGATTATTAGAGTGCTTTCTCTCTCTCTCTCTCTCTCTCTCTCTCTCTCTCTCTCTCTCTC